AAGAATCCTTGTGTTTAAAGCTCTCAGATCTCATGCCAGCCTATCTCTTGACTTCTTCACCCCCTTCCTCCACTGCTTTAGTTCACTTCCCCATGTTCTCCATAACCTTACTATTCTTGGAAGCGACTAACCTTTTCTGGACTGCAAACATGCACTCATACCATTCTTATCATCTTTCATATTTTTTCCCTATTGCACTGATGATATTTATTCATCATATTTAGCTAAATCACTAGACCATTAGCCTCCTCCACCCCAGTGGCCATGACTTCTCCCTTTTTGATCCCACAAAGTCCACTGGCTATGGTATTCTCATAGTCCTCATCACTTAACACCTCCTTCGTAGATTAGAGAGTCTTGAACATAAGTTCTGGCACTTTCTTAATGTGCTTCTGAATACTATGTGCTCCTCAGTGTATTAAAAGTCTTTGATTTAGTCATTGTATGGTTTCTGGGGCAGGGTGAGAGCCATGTTCCATAACTTCTGCCAAAGTCATAGACCTATTTACTATTTTTTAAAATGTTGCTGACCTAGTTACATAAACTTGCCATTTTGGAATTGGAAAGCTCTGTAGAGATTATTTCATTTCAGCTCCATACTCTTTCTAAGCCAAAGTGGGGATGAAGCCTTAAGGAGCAGACTGACTCATTGAGAACACACAACTAGTTTCTGGAGAATCTATTATGAAGACCTGAGTCAACTGTTGACACCAGAAGCAGCTGGATTCCCAAAGCACCTCCCAAAGGTCCTTATTCAGTGCCCTCTCTTTAGAAGAAATCTTTGCCAACTGGTTTCAATAAAAAGAATGTCGTGTGGTAGAGTTGGAGAAGAATAGGTTTTGGAATCAGACAAACTGGATGTAGATTCTAGCCTGGTCACTTATTAGCTGCATGAATTTTGGAAACTTACTTAACTTTTAAGCATCTTTTCCCATATGTAGAATGTGGACAATGATTTCCACTTCTTGAAGTGGTGTTAGTAAAATGGGGTAATGTGTTTGAAGTGTCTGGAATACCTTTCTTTCTTTCTTTCTTTTTTTCCTTTCTCTTTCTTTCTTTCTTTCTTTCTTTCTTTCTTTCTTTCTTTCTTTCTTCATGTTTATTTATCTTTGAGAGAGAGAGAGAAAGAGAGTGCTAGCAAGGAAGGGGCAGAGAGAGAGAGGGAGACACAATCCGGGGCAACTTCCAGGCTCTGAGCTGTCAGCAAAGAGCCCTACGTGAGTCTCAAACCCACAAACTGTGAAATCATGACCTGAGCTGAAGTCAGATGCATAACCAACTGAGCCACGCAGGCATCCCTGAAGCCATTGTTTAAAATAATTCTCATAAATTACCAACTTGCATATTTCATTTTTCTTAATGCAAAGATTTTTATAACATCTTTTTTCTAAATTGAGTAAGTGGATACTGGATTTCTTTCTTTCCCTTTGCCCTCAGAATGTTGAAATTTTTTTTGGGTGGTCACAGTATTACCCAGTTACTTTTGGAAAAGTTCCTTTTTTCCCATTTTTATCCAGAACAGAATATTTTGGAAGATGAATGTAGCTAAACTGGGTGTTAGAGATCTTAAAAAAAAAAAAAAAAAAAAATTTCCACAACCTCCTTGACCTCAACCGCAGCAATTTCTTACTTGACACATCCCAAAGGCAAGGGAATCAAGAGCAAAAATGAACTATTGGGACCTCATCAAGATAAAAAGTTTCTGTACGGCAAAGGAAACAATCAATAAAACTAATAGGCAACTGATGGAATGGGAAAAGATAGTTGCAAATGACATTTCAGATAAAGGGCTAGTATCCAAAATCTATAAGGAACTCACTAAACTCCACACCCGAAAAACAAATAATCCAGAAATGGGTAGAAGACATGAACAGACACTTCTCCAAAGAGGACATACAGATGGCCAACAGACACAAGAAATGATGCTCAATGTCACTCATCATCAGGCAAATACAAATGAAAACCACACTGAGATGCCACCTCACACTGGTATATGAGTGGCTAAAATGAACAAATCAGGAGACTCTAGATGCTGGTGAGGATGTGGAGAAACAAGCACCCTCCTACACTGTTGGTGGGAATGTAAACTGGTGCAACCCCTCTGGAAAACAGTGTGGAGGTTCCTCAAAAAATTAACAATAGAACTTCTCTATGACCTAGCAATCGCACTGCTAGAAATTTACCCAAGGGATATAGGAGTGCTGATGCATAGGGGTACATGTAACCCAATGTTCATAGCAGCACTCTCAACAATAGCCAAATCATGGAAAGAGCCTAAATGTCCATCAACTGACAAATGGATCAGGAAGATGGGTTTATCTATACAATGGAATACTACATGGCAATGAGAAAGGATGAAATCTGACCATTGGTAGCAACATGGATAGGACTTGAGGGTACTATGCTGAGCAAAATAAGTCAAACAGAGGACAGATACCATATGTTTGCACATATAGGTGGATTAGGAGGAATTTAGTGGATGACCATGGGGGAGAGGGAGAAGGCAAGCCATAAGAGACTCTTGAATGCTGAGAAAAAACTGAGGGCTGATGGGGGTGATGGGCATGGAGGAGGGCACTTGTTGGGATGAGCACTGGGTGTTATATAGAAACCAACTTGACAATAAACTATTTAAGAAAAATAAGAAGTAAATAAAACATTCAAAAATAAAAAAACAAACAAAAAAACCCCACTTTCCAGAGCTTATTGTTTTTCTGGATAAAAAGGTATTATATTCACTTAATAAACAGAAAGCTCTAACAGGCCTTGAAGTCTTCTGATAAGCTCTTAAGTAAGTGGCCTTGATGTTTAGTTCTTTTTCATGATGCCTCTTTGCCTTTCATGCCAATTTGCCTATAATGGTAGGACAGAGGGGGATGGTGGGTTAAGGGCACTGGAGACTCTTGGGGGGAATAAACAAAGATCTGTTATCAATTCCAGAACACTGCTGGGGCCTGATACACTTTGTTTTTATATCACATATGGAAGTAAAATCAAGGTGTTTTATGTCAGGGGTTTTAATATCAAATATGAGGGTCATGGTAGATCATTTTAAGTGTCTCTACCGGCTTCTAAACTCTATGATGTTGGGCTTTATTTTTTTAAGTTTATTTATTTTGAGAGACAGACATAGAGCGAGTGAGAGAGAGTGTAGAATCCGGGTGGGGCAGAGAGAGAGGGGGGAACATGCAGAATCTCAAGCAGGCTCTGCACTGTCAGAACAGAGCCCAACTCCAACTCACAAACCAAGAGATCAAGACTGAGTCACCCAGCCGCCCCTAAACTCTAGAATGTTTTAATACTGATAGGTTTCCATGAAAGCCGCTAGGAGTTCCTTTCCTGGAAGGCCCATACAATTGGTTCTAGCACTGGGTGGCACAAGGTTCACCTAGTTTGCTACAGTAATCATGAGTCAGGAAAACTGCTACGGTTTTCCTTCTTACAAATCCCGTACTAACATAAAAAGAGTGATCAAAAGCATGTAGGAACGAATATCATGACAGATATGCCACAAATACTCCCCACAACTGGTCCATGGACCAAGGCATATTTCCAAGTCAAGGATTTCACCCAACAAAGTAAGGTCTTTGAGGGAATAGGAAATCCTAGGGTAGGCCTCTGCGAACCAGATCCAGGTGAATTACTAAAGGAAAATGTTCTTGGGGTTACTCTCCATGAAGACGAGTAACTGGCCTTTCCATCAATGTCCTTTCCTGTTCTGACAGGGACAGAGCTGGGCTGGGGAGGGAGGGTGGGAGTTGGGGAAGTCAGTATTCTGACCAGCACCGTATAGATTTGTGTTTCTCAAACTGCTCCCCGGTGGAATCAACTGGAATGCTTTATTTATTTATTTTTATTTTAAAAATGTTTTTTAAATGCTTATTTATTTTTGAGACAGAGAGAGACAGAGCATTAGCAGAGGAGGGGCAGAGAGAGAGGGAGACACAGAATCCAAACGGGCTCTGTGCTGACACCAGGAACCAGTGAGATCATGACCTCAGCTGAAGTCGACGCCCAACGGACTGAGCCACCCAGGCGCCCCTAGAATGCGTTAAATCATCCGGCTGCACCCTTCCGATCCCCAGAAATCTTAATCTAACTAGTCCGAGGTGTAGCTGGAGCTTCTGGAATTTTTAAAAGCCACCCACGTGATTCTAACGTGTGGCTAGTATCACACTGCACGGGCATATACTTAAAGTCTTCCAACAAACTTTCCTCTTAAAACCACCACCCTATCATTTATTTTTCTGGCGTTTGGTTTTGTTTTGGTATTTTTCTCCCCACCCAACACACACACACCCGCCGGATGGTGAATTTCTCCCAGCAGTCAGACTGAAATAGCCCCAAAGTGGAATTCATGAGCTGTCCTTGGTAAATGAGAAGAACCCTGGCGAGGAAAGTGATTCCCACCCAAGCTTAGTATGAACAACGGTCACTCCTTGCTGTGTTGCTCGACCTGTTTTCTTGGGCCATTTCCCACTTGCAGTTTTCAGATTACAGAGCGTCCTGGGAGATCACACCCCATTTTTTTTTTCCTATTCGTAGTTGGCATGTGACGGCATCTGGCTGAGGGCACCAGGACCCTGGGTGGGCACTCTCTCAGCTTTGAAGAGCTACCTCCGGAATCCTCGGCCCCTTCCGCCCCGCCCCGCAGCACTCAAGATCGCCTACTTTGCTAGAAACCGAATTCAGATTCCCGGGGAACCAATCCCTTGCCACTCGAACCACTCTCCTCTCCGCCGTTCCCCCCAATTTTTTGTTTACTTGGAAGGCAGATGTTTACATTTCCAGATGGGAGCTCTTGGCAGGCCCCACCCTAGCGAAGCGCCCAGCCAGAGAGCCCCTCTCCCGGCCCCTTTTCGGTCTTTCCGAGTCGGGGGTCCCTGGGGGTGGGTGGCGCGAGAGCCCCCGCCCTCGCCCCGCCCCGCCGCGCCCGGCACCTGGCGCTGCAAACTCCCCCCACTCGTCTCTTCGCCCCACACTTTGTGATTCAGAGTCCCAGCCCCGCCCAGGCGCTAATTTAACCCGCAGGGCGGAACCGTCGGTCGCAGCAGCTACTTACCGCTCTTTGCTGGAACGGCTTCGACTCACTCCGGGTCCCTGTGCCCGCGCGCGCCATGGGGCCCGCGCGGCGGAGCGTCCCCGTAGCGCTGCGCCTCCTTGGCGGGCTGACCGTGCGGTTGCTGCTGCTGCTGCTGCTGTGCCCACCCGCCGCGCAGGGTGAGCGGGGACCGGGGGGGGGGCAGCCCCCGCCCTGGGTGAACCCTTGGTCTGGGTGGGAGGGGCGGGATCCGTCTCCGCGAAGACCGGGAAATCGGGAACCCGGGGGAGGTGAGGAATGTGGGCAAGGGTAATTGTTCCTGTAATCCTCTACCCTGGAGGCTCAGAGCTCCGACGAGCACGACCTCTTGGGGACAGGGAGAGATCTCCGCTGCCAACCTGCAGTTTTGGGGTATTGCTGTGGCGGACCCCAGCTCCTATGGTTTTAGGATTGAGGCGCGGACTGTCGAGGAAGCGCGGGCTGAGTTTGCGGAGCGGCCAAAGGCGGGGACCCCAAAGGGCAGGGCTCAAAGAGTCAGTGTTCAGCCCCCCAACATCTCTTTAAGGATGGGAGGCCAAAGAGTCGACCACTCTCCCCTCTTAAATAGTTGTGTGCACAGCTTAGCACGTCTTCTCTTACAGTAGTAACGCTCCGAGGGGGCGTCTGTCTTTATTGTGCGCTTAGCAACTGTATCTACACGTGTTCTAAGCCACTTTAAAAACAAAATAATGAAGGGAGGGCGTTGATTCCTTATTTTAGCACTGAATTAATTGACCAGACAGGCAGCCTAGCAAGTTCCTGGTATGTCAGTTCAGCGCTGGATGGAAATGTTACATGTGCTTCAAAAGCCATTGCTGGTTCCCTTACTCCTCTTGGAAAAGGGATGTTGCTGTGAATTGAAAACTATTATTTCCTTTGGTGCTTTTTTTTTCCCCTCTCTAGGTGACTGCAGCTTGCCCCCAGATGTACCTAATGCCCACCCAATTTTGAGTAATGGTGTTAAGAATTTTCCTGAAGGAAGCACAGTAACATACAAATGTAACAAAGGCTTTGTAAAAGTTCCTGGCAAGACAGACTCAGTGGTCTGTCTCAGTAACAATCAATGGTCAGAGATGGCAGAATTTTGTAACCGTAAGTTCTTAATTTTTATCTATATATATGAGTTATGGGAATGGAATGTACCTTGTTAGTTTAATTTTATTCCTCTTCAGAGTGACTGGTAATTGATAGTTTTCAAGCATTATTAAGCCCTAAGGCATACCTGGCACTTTACCCTGTGGCTAATTGCCTGACATTACTTCCCAGAATAGGTCCTGATCCTTCATTAACAGGTTTGGGTTTTCTGTTGTTGTTTGGTTTGTTTGGTTTTTGTTTCTGTTGCTGTTGTTTTCCCCTAACGCTGTACCTCCTGAAATAATAGAGAAAATAAACAATAGGTGCAATTTAGGAAGTCAATGATATATGTTTGGGAACCACCCTGAGACACATAACATAGGTCTGTTTTCTTAAATTTCATTTTGCAAGGTAGGACTTAGCAAATACAACTCTGTGGTAGTGTTTTTAAAAGTTCTTTATTTTTGCCTCCAAATCTATCGTTAGAGGCATAGTCCTGCATTAGCTTTGACATATACAAGTAAAGATAAAGATAAGGCTTGGTTCCTACCTTTGGACAACCTGCAGTAATAGAAGGTACATAAATACAGAAACTGCCACAAGTATTTTTTGAAACCAGGTATGAAATCAACTTTCACTTTTTGTTTTTAATGTATCCATGATTTCAGAAGGCAATGTGTTGAAGAATGTGATGTGAGACTTTAAGCATGTATCCAGTTTTAGAGTTTATAACTCTTCTACATATAATACTCCACGGACTCCTCCAGACAACCTCTTGAGTCAAGTAGGAACTCTGACTCCCATTTTACAGTGGCGAAACAATCCCCCAGAAGTTAAATAACTTCTTGAGATCAACAGTTCTTATGCACAAGAGCCAGCGTCCAAACTTGAGTCTTTGGATTAGAAATCAATGTCCCTTCCACGATCCCGTACTTCTCCAAATTCACAATTGCCCAGACAGACATTTACAGTTAACACTTTGATGTACACTGTTGGCTCATCTGATCTTTGGCCTCCTGGGTTGTTAGGATGAAATGAGTTCTATGTTTAAAACTTTAGAAGTAGTCAGTAAATACTATCTATTATTGTCACTATTATTGTTGCTGCCCAGGACATTGGCCCAAGGGTCTGGAAATACTGGTTCTCATCTCATCCCTGTCCTCCACAGGGCAAGTAAGCGTCAGTGCCAGAACTGTGCCAGCAACTTAAATGGGTTCTATTTCCTGAATTGTGGGCACAGTGATATCTACATACCAAATTTACTTCATAGGCCTCTAATAATTAGGAAATTAAAATATATGTGTGAATATGCTAGATATGCTGTGTCATAGTCATTAATATGGTAAATACCAAATATGTACAAAGAAGTACGAAAAAGAAGTGATGTAAAGGATCAAATAATTCTGGATAATTAAACATAGATTATAAAACAAAGTGATGCTACTTATGTTGTTGACTTTGTTAATACTTTCAGGTAGCTGTGATGTTCCACCCATACTACGTTTTGCATTGCTCAAGAAGTCTTTTAGCATACAGAATTATTTCCCAGAAGGTTTCACTGTGGAATACGAGTGTCGTCAGGGCTACAGAAGGGACCATACTCTCTCAGGGAAACTAACTTGCCTTCAGAATTTTACATGGTCCAAATCAGAAGAGTTTTGTAAAAGTGAGTATAATTTTACAGAGTATTCTCAATCACATGGTATTTTGGAAAATAGTATTCCTTCCTTCATGCTGGAAGTCTATGTGTGCATGTCATGATTTAAAATTTCTGAAAAGAACCACTCATTTTATTTGAAACTAGGGTAACTAAATACTTGTGAGATAGGAATATTAATTAAGTCATAGATTTCACTTTTCATTAGTTTAAGGCTACCTCAGATGTAATAAGCGTATATTCTAAATATATTCTGTTATTTGAAACTTACCAAAGGAAAGCAGGATATTAAAAGTCTAAGGATAAGAGGTGACAATGAATTTGCATAGATGTGCCTGATAATATAATGAAAAAAATAAATTTGTGCTCTCTTCTAGAAAAATCCTGTGCTACTCCTGGAAACATAGAATATGGTCATGTCAGTATAACAACTGACATATTATATGGTGCATCTATTTTCTTCTCATGTAACACGGGGTAAGTTTTGGCATACTGTGTATTTATACTCTATATTTAATAAATGTGAAATAAATTAGGATTGAAGATGCAAGTGTTTAGATTTGTGGCCAGGGTTTACAAGCTAGTCTCCATAAAACAAGTCCTCTGCTCAGAGATCTTTTATCATGAGCACATCTCAGCTACATGTAATAAAATGGGGCAAGAAAGGACAATTTCTCATAACATCAGATTCCCTCAATTGCTAGATTTCAGTACATATATGATTCACTATAAAATTTTAAATGTGATTAGTGAAGGAAGAAACTTAAAATGTGTTGGCACTTGCAGAAATTAAATCCTTTATGGTTCAAGTGAAACCAATCCTTAATTTACCTAAACTTACCATATTTTCTTCTATATGCAGATGACCTGTTAGAAAGTATTATGTGTCAAAGACACTTATTCCTGATGTGAAAATATCATTCTGACCTGAGGTGTTTTCTAAGTCCCATATGTGTGGAAAAGGAACTCACTCACTGAGTATCATCAGAGTCTCAGACCCTGCTGGAAACTTTATGTTCATTTTTTCATTAAATATCTGCACATTGAATTATGATATTTTACTCCATATGTGTGTGTCCCTGCTCTTTATAAAATAAAAATACCAGTATCACTTGTCTCCTGTAGGAAACAGACATGTTTGGATCATTAGTATGATTCATATCAAATCTGCAGAGTGCTTTGAACCCTTAAAATATGTTCTGTTGTTCTATGAATCCTGTATTGATCTTTTAGAACTCAGAAATATAAAATAGCCAAGCACCTGTATCGCTGTAAAGTGTTTCAAAACACTTTCATGTTTTCCTCACAGGGACCCCACCCAAATAAAAAATGTTTTGCATGTCTTATATCTTCTTACTCTTTGGATATCACCTTTTTAAAAGTAATTTTTTTCTTTTCCTTTAAAGAAACTTTAATCATCTATTGTCTTGTCTCCATCTACTGGTATAGTAAATATTTTAAGATGATATTCTGGAGAATTTAAGGGAAGTCAGTCACGTGTGGATGAGACCTAACGTTTTTCTCCCTTCACTGTTTTAGGTATAGGTTAGTAGGTGCAGATTCTAGTTTCTGTTACCTTTCGCCAAACGGGACTATGGAGTGGTCTAATCCATTGCCAAAATGTGAAGGTAAGACTGAAAAAAACCTCAATGCTCTGGTAGTAAGGCTGAATAATCAATGGTAAATTGCTTTCTCTCTTATTTTTTTTAAGTTTACTTATTTATTTTTGAGAGAGACAAAGACAGCACAAGTGGTGGGGGTGGGGCAGGCAGAGAGAGAGCGGGAGAGAGTGAATTCCAAGCAGCTCCACGTGGTTAGCACAGAGCCCCATGAGGAGCTAGAATGCAACAAAACCAGGAGATCAAGACCTGAGCCGAAACCAAGAGTTGGATGCTTAACTGACTGAGCCACCCATGTGCCCCTACATTACTTTCTCCCATTAAGAATTATCCACAGTGTGTATTTATAGTACCCTCACTTTCCAATGTAAGAATGTCTTAGCTACTTCATTAGTAATGTTTCTTACTCTATTAGTTATGGAGGTAAAGGATCAAAAACCCAACAAACTCCAAAACAAACATACACACACACAAAAGCCAACAAACTGAGATGTGTATTGTGCTCAGTCGTTCATCATCCTGCCTTTCCTTCTAAACATCAAGCAAAATGGATACAGTTTTTCTTCCCCCACAATTTTTAATTTGATAGATTAAAGTACTTTTGATCAGAGAGTCTATATGATCTCACCCTACTTCCCAAAAAAGTGGCAAGAGAAGACATTTAATCCAGACTTCTGGACTTCAAATCCATTATTTTTCTAAAACAAGTGCTGCCTCGCTGCCTCTTTTGGGATTCTGAGCTGAGCTAATTATGAGTAAATGTTTCAAAGTGTGATTTATTTTTCATCATTAGGGAAATAAGGTTATACAATATAGAAAAAAATATTATTTCTTCCCTTGAGAATCTTATCTTCTAAAGAGGAGATAGGGCATAGAAATAATATCATAAATACATATATCAAGTCAAATTTATGTCCACCAGATACATAAGTCTCCTGAAAATTGAGAGGGGTAAAATATATCCAACATATTTCTTTTTTCTTCTTAAGGAAAATGCAGCATTTAAAAATGTAGACTTTAGGGGTACCTGGGTGAATGCAGTTGGTTGAGTGTCCAGCTCTTGACTTCAGCTCAGGTCATGATCTCACAGTTCATGAGATCGAGCCCCGCATCGGACTGCGTGCTGACATTGCAGAGCCTGCTTAGGATTCTCTCTCTGCCTCTCTCTCTGCCTTTCTCTGTCTCTGTCTCCCTCTCTCTCTCCCTCTCTTTCAAAAGTAAATAAACATTTTTTAACAAACTTTAAAAATGTAGGCTTTATTTCTCCCATCTTTGCTAACATCATTGCTAAGTTCAAGTTCTTGGTGTTATTGGGAACAGGAAACTGGAGTAGAATTAGTGTAATTTGTCAGGCATATATGGATTGGCACACTGTGGTAGGGAATGTGTGGGATCAGTTGATATGAAGACAAATAAAACGAAGCCTTGCCAACCAAGAGCTTACAGGAGAAAGTCGGCCACACCCACACCCTTACCCGGCATACCACCTTGTGCTCACTCCACCCTCATATGACTGCTACATCTTTTTCTTGTGGTTATCCCTTTGACATTTTTAGTGTAACTAAAAATCTTTCCCATTTCCACCATCCAGCAAGGGGTGTTGTAAATGATACTTAAGTAAGTTTGAACAGCAAAGAGGAACTAGACTGTATTTTTTCCTGACACAGACAACTTGTCCAGGAGACTGGACAAGCAGTCTCCCATTCTGAGGCCATTATCTTCCCAAGCAAGTCCCGTCAGGAACTTCACAGACCTGTGGACACCAAGCACATAATCCAGCACAAAAGAGCCTCTACACTGCAAACACACTTTCTCTTCACGCCTAGCCGTGGCTGGGCCACGGTCCTACTCCCTGTCTGGTAACTTGAACTCCATTTTCCTCTTTGCCTGAGCTTCCTACTTTCCTCTTTGATTCTGTTATCCATTTCTCAACTCAGCAACCATTGACAACTGTGTCCTTCAAAAAGGAGCCCTTCTTCCTAAACAACCTGTGTCTTCAACGATCCCTACAATGCCCAGTTCTTTTAGCTCCAGCTTTGATTTTCCACACAACTTAATTTTTCTGTTTTGATAATGCCACAGGATGAAGTGGAAAGTATACATTCTAAAACAGTGAGCTGTCTCACCTCAAGTACACAGCTGTGGCCTCTTGACACACAACAGTGCTTTAATGTCTGTGTGTAGATTCGGGAAAGAAAGCAAAGGGATATGTTCAAGATTTGTCTTTGGTTATACAGCAAACATGAGTAGTGCTTGGTCCTTTCTGAATGAAGCCTCAGTGTCAGAAGGATCTGTTTTCCTACCTTTCTCCCAATGTTTTCTTTTTCAGAAGTACCTTTAATGAACTGCTATCCCCTGCGAGCCTGGAATCAATCCCTGCTATATAATATCTGCCATCCCAGACCCATCCCAATATCTTCACCTCCCACTTCTAATCACGAAACTGTGTTGCTTTATCTCCTTAATATACTTCCAAGCCTGTGTTTAACCCTCCATCTGTATGACTTACATACAGTTGATCATCCTTCATATGGGCTCTTGCAGTAAGGGCCACTCCTAACATTTTCAAGGGCCCAGAGCAAATGTAAATGGAGGTTCATGACCTAAGACCCAACCTTTCTCAAATAGGTATCCCCTTCTGTCACTGTGAGAAGTCTCTGACGCGTGTCAGTGGACAACTCGGCCCACACACCCAAGTCACGTACCCTGTGACCTTTTTTCCCCCCTCCACTGCACTTTGGGCTACAGATGTACACATCAGCAGTATGGACCATCCTCCGCAGTCGGGACCCTGTGATTGCTCCCACAGCACATACGCTAAAATTGGGACGATATGGAGAAGGTTGGCATGGCCCTTGCTCAAGGAGGACACACAAATTTGTGAAGTGTTACATATTAAAAAAGAAGAAGAAGAAGAATACGGACCAGTGGAAGGGACCCTTTCAGGCCTTGCAGGGAGTGCTAAAACAGGGAATTCTGGGCCAGTTGCTAAAGCATGGTTTACAGTGGGAGTGGAGGAGGAGCTCTCAGTGAGCTTATCTTCTGGGGCCTGCAGATGTCCCACGTGATAGGGCGAGGCACAGTCAGAGCAGAGCCACGGCATGCTGGTTTCATGTATGGGAGCTAGGGGCGTCAGGGTGGCTCACTTCGTTCAGCATCCGGCTTCGGCTCAGGTCATGATCTCACGGTTTGTGAGCTTGAGCCCTGCATCTGTGCTGTCGGTGCAGGGCCTGCCTAGGATTCTCTCTCTCCCTCTCTCTCTGCCCCTCCCCACCCCATCTATCTCAAAATAAATAAAACTTAAAAAAAATAAAGTGTGCAAGCTAGGGCAGGAGTCCCACTTGCCTGAGCTCAAAGGTGACATTGAGTGCAACGGCCCCGTCCTCTATTCTTATAATATTTCATCCATACTCTACCCAGAGTGATGCCTCTGAAGCACAAATGTGTCTCATCTCTTCCTTCTTAAAGCTGATCCATGTCTTTTCATCGTTTACAAAATCCAGACTCCTTAGTAAAGCATACAAGGCTAGCCATGGTCTGCCTACTTCTTGCCCTCATACTTCATGCTTTACCCACACTCGCTGCCCTACAGCTTTCCTTCTGCGACAGCCTCAGCCTGGAATGTCCTTTGGCCCCTCCATTTGCTGGGCTTTTCTTTTCCTTTCTTTCTTTCTTTCTTTTTTTCTTTCTTATTAAGAGTTTGCTCTGACAGTCCTTCTAGAAGTTTCCCCTGACCTTCCAGCTGATTAACTGTCCTTTTTCTCTTTCCACACCACGGAACGCACTTCTACGATAAGCCTGACTATCTTGTGTTAAAATTAGAACCTTCTGTGTTTAATTAAAAATTAAATTAAAATCTTTTTTTTGTCACTCTGTTTTAAGACGTAGGACTTCATATCTTATTTTGTTTTGCAATTCTGTTTCTAGAACAATGACTGGTACACGTTAGGGGCTCAGAAAATATGTGCACTGTACTGATGGTGACATGTGTCATCACCCATGTGACATGTGACACACCCAAGCTCAGTGTCAGGCAGATTAACTTGCCCTTGCTCCTTGCTTTAATCAATGGCCTAAAAGTAATTTATAAATTTTCTAGTATTCTCTGGTTACTTAAGGCCGCTTGATGTAACATAATTTGATGTATACAGGTGATCACATTGCTTTCCTGCTTCAAGGCAAAAAAAAAAAAAAAAAAAAAAAATCAAACGAAAAAACCAAAACCCAATGTCATGGCTCTAGAGAATGTGAAACTATTGTATTATTTTCATTAATGAGGGCAACTTCTAGGAAGAGCCTCCTTTTAGAGTATAACAGAGAGATTCTGCTTGTATTTGTTAGACATATTCTACTCAATAAATTTACTTGAAGTAAAAGGCTGTGAGTCAATACATGCTTAAAAAAATTATCCTAAAAGCTAAAATGTACTCCTGATATTTAAGGTATTTTGCTCTGTCAGAATGATCTATTCCTCTTTCCCAAGTATGCCAATAGACTTCATTTAAAAATTTTTCTATTAAAATTTTTTCAAAGGATTATTACTTTTTCAAGGCAACAGAATATGAGTGAGGGAAGGGCAAAGAGAGAAGGATACACAAATCAGCGGTCAGCACAGAGCCCGACGCGGGGCTCGAACTCACGGACCTTGAGATCATGACCTGAACTTAAGTCGGATGCTTAATGAACTGAGCCATCCAGGCGCCCTGCCACTTGACTTCTAAGCTCCTTTCATTTAGCATCATTTCCTCTGGAATGAAGAGCGCTGGCCACTTCTCTGCTGTCTTTGCAGAAGGGCACATCTCAGTATTAAATTCAAGTTCCATTTTCTCCTTAAAATCTCAGCCCTGCTTTCACTACTGAACTCTGGCAGTATTAGTTTTTCTAGCACAATTGGACATGTAATATGTGCAGACTTTATTGTAATTTTTGCTTTACGTATATGTTCTAATTTATTTCTTTTTTAAATTTATTTTGAGAGACAGAGAGAGCGAGCGAGTAGGGGTTGAGGCAGAGAGAGAGACAGAGAGGAGAGAGGAAGAGAATCCTGAGCAGGCTCCATGCTATCAGAGCAGAGCCTAACCCAAGGCCAGATCCTAAGGACCACGAGATCATGACCTGAGCGAAGATCAGGAGTCAATCACTTAAATGACTAAGCCAACCAGGCACCCCAGTCCTAAATCTTTCTTCTATAAATTGGTGTCAAAGTTAGCATTCATGTTTTGCAGTATTTGCATCCAAAGCCCCAATATATTATTCATTACTTAATAGGTATTCACAAGCATCCCTTGCTGATAATGCTACATTTAAAAAATGGTAGATTTTTTATTTTTTTTTTAAATAACGTAATTTAACAGAATTTAATCTTGTGTAAAAATACCTTAGCAGTTTTATTAACTTAAAATATGTCGGCATTTTTTAAAGAAATTTCTTGTCCAGAACCACAAGGAATTAGGAATGGAAGCATTCAAAATCCACAGAAAACCTACGTAAATCAACAGTCTGTAACCTATCAATGTAATGAAGGCTTTACCCTGACCGGAGAGCACTCTATTTACTGTACTGTTAAAAATGACCGAGGAGAATGGAGCGGCCCGCCCCCTGAATGCAAAGGTAATCAGCCTTCATAGTTATGTTCTTGTCTTATTTTTACCCTGAAGGCTCTATGTGGGCTACAGAGATTCCATGAACTCCCTGAGAAATGAATGTAAAAATGTTGTCCATTTTTCTGGGGGCACAGTTTTTCCTAAGATTCTCAGAAGGGTCGATGTCTTCCCAGAAAGGAAGAAGCACTGATATGGAGAACATGTGGTAATGTATAAATACATACAGACACACACACATGGCATATACAAAAACACACGCCTGTGCACACACATATCATAATGTCTCATGCTTTTAGTGAATTAGCTTTGGTCTTTCTTACCGTATTCCTTTCAATGAGTTAATATTAATACAATGGGTGTATAGGGTGGTTTATTTTATTCAGTTAGGAGGGAAACTTAGATTAAACTGAGGGATCTAGATAGTGGCCCCAGGAGGTGGTGTTTGTTTGGGCAATGTGGTGTTTGAATGCCAGTATAACTCAAGCAAATGCTACTTTTATAATTATACTCGGAATTGCCTTGGCATGAATTTCTAAATAACAGTGTTCATGAAAAGTAGGTTTTTGTTATGAAGGGTGTACATAAACAGTGCAGTAATATTAAAACCATGCAGACTCGTATAAAATGAGACGTAAACTCTCAGAAGTGAGCACCGTTCACAAAGCTTTGCGTTTGTTTCTAGTAAATAAACACACACACACATATATTTATTTCTTCAATCATAGCTTGTTGTATGGATGTATCATTTAACCTGTTGAGGGGAATTCAGTTTTTGATCCTAGTTTGCTTTTTGAATTATTATGACCAAAGATGCTACATGGAATACTGTACACCTGGAATTGCATGTGTGTGCAAGTACATTTTGTACAGTAAAGTCCTTGCAGTGCAATTACTGGAACAAGGTCATATGCATTTAAAGTTTTGATAGACGGTACCAACACTGTTTCCGAAGAAACTCTAGCGATTTACTCTCCCAGGGATATCTCATCATTGTGCTGCTTCCCTGCACAGTTAATGATACTGGTTATTGGGATGTGGAGATGTGATCATATAAGCGGGGAACATTTCATTTTATTATTTGAATTAATTTAATGATGGATGAGATTTCATATGTGCTTCTTTTTCTTAATCTGCTGATTTGATGTACTTCATCTTTATTTTCCCATTTTATTGAATCATCAGTTATTTAGAGCTTACAGCTCTAGGGTAGTGCCCAAGTAGGCATGGTAGTCTAATGTTTTCATTACAATAACTGCAATATCTGGATCAATTTCTTAAGTCACATTTTAAAAATTTATTTATTAATATTAATTTTTTGAGAGAGACAGAGAGAGAAAGAGAGCAGGGGAGGGGCAGAGAGAGAGAGGAGGAAAGAGAATCCCCAGCAGGTTCCACACTGTAAGCACAGAGCCCGATGTGGGGCTCCAACTCATGAACCATGCGATCATGACATGAGATGAAATTCAAGAGTTGGCCACTTAATGATTGAGCCACCTAGGCACCCCTTTTAAGGTCTTAGTTTTAAAGGTGTAAGTTTCAAGTCGTGGGAACAGGCAGGACTGCATGTACTAGAACTATTGGGGGTGGAGAGTGAAGGCAGCCATTCTGAGGTACACTTGAGCTGGAGATCCGTGGCAACTCACATAAAAGACCACTGCCAGGAAAGAGAGAGACGGGCAAAGCTTTTATTCATTTTTAATTATTTTTTAATGTTTACTTATTTGTGTGTGAGAGAGAGAAAGAGAGAGACAGAGAGAGAGAGACAGAGCATGAGCAGAGAGAGAGGGAGACACAGAACCTGAAGCAGGCTCCAGGCTCTGAGCTGTCAGCACACAGTTGGATGCGGGGCTCAACCCATGGATAGTTAGATCATGACCTGAGCTGAAGTCAGACGTTTAACTTACTGAGCCACCCAGGCGCCCCTGTACTACGTGTTTAGATTTGCGATTCTCATAAGATCATAATGGAAGTTGCACTTCAGATATTGGTTACCTGACCTGAAATCTAAGGAGGAACTAAATTGAATATATGTAAAATTGATAGCCAGCACGAGAGAAAATAGAGTAATTTTATCCAGATTGACTTTATTACTTTAAAAAAGAAGTAAAATAAAACAAGTTCCCAAGGTCACTAACATGCCAGAAAGCATTGGGAAAAGGAACTGTGTTGCCATTATCTCTCTGTCCAGTGTTGTTCTTTGGTTTTGGCATAAGCAAAGGAAGACATTTAGTGAGAGAAAACATCTTAATTTGGGGTGTGTCACAGACAGAGATTATTACCAACTTTGACTTTGGCTTCCTTTCGTTACACAGAAAGCAGTTTACAAACCTCAGTACTACTTTGGTGCATATATAAATTGGTATCATTTATATCAGAGCAAAAATAAGGGGGCATTTCAGATCTTTGGGAAATTCACAATAAGACTTGGTTTCCTAAAAGTCAAATTTAGGTGTTTGTTAGAGAGAAAGGGAGAAGTCACAGAGCAAAAAGTAGTTTCCTCAGTCTTAACTTCACAGCATTATTTAGCTAATATTTTTTAATAAGTTTCTTCTGCAGAAAATTCCCAGATTTCTAAGGACATATCAAGAGTTCAGAAACCCACAATGGCAAATGTTCCAGGTACAAAAGTCCCATCAACTCCTCATAAACCCACCATAGTGAATGTTCCAGGTACTGAAGCTGCATCAACTCCTCATAAACTCACCACCATAAATGTTCCAGGTACCAAAGTCCCATCAGCTCCTCAGAAACCCACCACCATAAATGCTCCAGCTACAAAGGCCCCGTCAACTCCTCAGAAATCCAACACAGTAAATGTCTCAGCTGCAGAAGTCCTTTCAACTCCTCAGAAATACAACACACCAAATGTTTTAGCTACAAAATCTCCCTCAACTCCTCAGAAACTTGACACAATAAATTCTTCAGCTACAGAAACCCTATCAACTACTCAGAAACCCAACACAATAAATATTTCAGCTACAAAGATCCCATCAATTCCTCAGAAACCTGACACAATTAATTCTTCAGCTACAGAAATCCTACCAACTACTCAAAAACCCAAGAGAGTCAATGTTTCAGCTACAAAGGCCCCATCAACTCCTCAGAAACCCGACACAGTAAGTTCTTCAGCTACAGAAGCCCTACCAACTCCTCAGAAACCCAACACAATAAATATTTCAGCTACAAAGGTCCCATCAATTCCTCAGAAACCTGACACAATTAATTCTTCAGCTACAGAAATCCTACCAACTCCTCAGAAACCCAACACAATAAATATTTCAGCTACAAAGGTCCCATCAATTCCTCAGAAACCTGACACAATTAATTCTTCAGCTACAGAAGCCCTACCAACTCCCCAGAAACCCAACACAATAAATATTTCAGCTACAAAGATCCCATCAATTCCTCAGAAACCTGACACAATTAATTCTTCAGCTACAGAAATCCTACCAACTACTCAAAAACCCAACATAGGCAATGTTGCAGCTACAAAGTCCCCATCAACTCCTCAGAAACCCGACACAGTAAGTTCTTCAGCTACTAAAACTCTCCCAATTCCTCAGAAACTTACCACTGTAAATGTTCCAGGTACAGAAGTCCTGCCAACTCCTCAGAACCCCACCAAAGTAAACTCTTCAACTACAAAGTCCCAATCAACTCCTCAGAAACTCACCACAGCAAATGATTCAGCCACAGCCAAAAAATTCCCCATATCAAGTGCTCTATCTACAGAGACCCCACCAGCAGCCCAGAACCCCATCATGGCAAATGCATCTGCTACACAGGCCATACCAGCAACCCATAGATCCACCACAGCAAGAACTTCAAAGAATGTTCCAGCAATACAAAAGTTTACTACTGTACATGCCCCAGTGACTAAGGGTTTCCATGCAACAAAAAGATTGACCTCTGCTCATATTACAGCAAAACAGAGTTCAGCTGTTGCTCCCAGGACAACCACGCACGTTCACGCAACAAGCCCACAAAAAGAAAGAGGAACTGCTTCTTCAGGTTAGTTGACACTGTTTGGGTTTTCCTGAGTATGGATCTCATGTGCTATGGTAGAAAGAGTTGTTCATGCTAATGCTCTTGACTTTCTTCAGAGGCAGACATGGAGGATGCTAGGGCAAATTGTTGAAAAAGAAACATTTTACAATAACATAGAAAAATATGTGGCTTCATAAAAACAATGCTAAATGAAGGTTGGTGAAGAAATTCTGTTTTCTATATTAGCTTTAGGGAGTCATTGACTTCTTCAAGACCCTTCTGAGAACCAAATATGTACCATCCTTAAGGCTGATTTCTGGGTCTGGTTTATTGATAGATATCCATTTCTTATGGGTCTCCAGATTCCCTAGAATTGCTAAGTTGATAATGAATCTCAACAGTGTCTTCTAAGTAAGTGAAAACACAGAATTCTTGGGAATAGTTTATATTAACACAAGACTCTTTAAATGACAGCTTTTATAAACGTGGAATAAAATACGCTGTAGACTTCAGAAATACCTGTTGAGTGAACCAGTGAAACCCTTTTTACTAGTTACTGCTTCAGGCCACCAGGATGGCCTTTTGTCTCATAACTTGTGTAATGTATAGCCCAAATTTTTGTTCTCGTTCCCTATGAGAGATACCTATTTTTGTTTTCAGTTCCTTGGAAAATCTCAATAGAATTATGAGCCAGGAGAATTATTTTAATTGTTTTAAATTTATGATTGAAGTCAACACACACACACACACACACACACACACACACACACTGCATAAAATATCCATGTATGGCTCAATAACTTTTCTAAAGCAAATATTTGTGTAACTACCACAAATGTCAAGAAATAAAATCTTAGAAGCCCCTCAGATTTACCCCCTCACTTTCCAGATGTTCTGTCTATCCTGACTTCATCCACTGACTTATCCAGCCAGTAGGCCCCTGGTATTCTGCCCTCTATATACCACATGGCCCAGGGATTTCCCTCATTGCAAATATGCAAACCTCATTCCAGGCAGCTCTCTCTCTTTTGTTTTTGACCAGTTTCTGGCTGTCTTCCTGTGCCCCCACGGTGCCTCCAAGTCACTGATATTACTGTTTTTCCATATTTTGTCCAGATTTTATAACCGCTATGATGAAGTCTATTTTGCCATCACCCAGATAATTTTTAAGAGCTTAAAACTTTACAGATACCATTATTGAAATTTCCTTTGTATATTTCTGGATTCCATTAGGTAAAAAGCCAAATGATGCAAGTACACAGAATCTTATACCATTCCTGCTTGCTTTTGGTCATTCCTCAATGGTATCAAATAATTGTGTTTTTTTAAAGATAGCTTTACACATTGTGACCATATTGTTGTAACGATTTCATACATTTGACAGTTGTTATCTTGAAGCATTTTTTTTTGCCATTAGCTGGGTATTTTTAAGAATTTAAACATTACAGACGCTATTCTACGTCACTACCTCTGTTTCTCTCCTTCAAGACAATTATTGCCCTGAGGCTGGTGTGTAAGCATTCTATCTAGTTTTAACTCTTATGTTGTGTGTGTATTTCTACACCTCATAGGATTGCATCACAGTCTACCATTTAAGCTTTCAAACTCGTTTCCTGTTGTCAAGTCCTATAACCAAACTATATGGCATTTGTTACAGTGTTCTTAGTCATGTTTCATATATACAGCTTTGACTCTGCTGAATAGATATGCACTGGTGTATATGTTGCTTGATTAAGTTAATACATAACTTTCATATTTTGTTTATAATTATTTCTTTTAATTATGAAAATCTGAGTTCCTTTTGAACTTTGAAGTACATTTTGTTGATCTATAAAATTGCTAGGAAATCCGTGACTTAAATTTTTTTGTAATTCTGTTTTTTTTCTTCTTCTTCTTCTTCAGATGCTAACATCATTGCAGTTGGTAAGTTTGGTTCTTCGGCGGTTAAAAGAAATTGTCATAAATGTGGGATGTACAATCCACATTCCTGGAAGAGAATCTTGTCTTTTAAGTGTCTTAGGAATACTATTAAAATGCGGTGTTTAAAGGTATCAAAGAGAAAACAGGTAAAAGCATTTTATCGACACGTTTGGTGGACACCGTTAGGCACTCGGTATGTTCCTAAGGATTCCCAACCATGTTCTTGTTCCAAGGTAGTGTTAGGTCAACTTCAAATCATGTGGCCAGTCAAGAAAGTATTATTGAATGCCTATTGTCTCAATGTATAGTCAGGCTTGGGGCCAAAGAATAACAAGGAAGAGGCAGGTACCCATGCAGTTTTTAAACCTCTAGTATTTTACAAGTAATCATAAACTACTCCTTGACTGTTTCTAGACTTCTGTCATATTCCAGAGAAACCAGACTGCTACCTTTGGTTATATCCACTTCCTTTTCCCTTCCCTGTCAGTGATTTAAAGCAAAGAGAGCTTTAAAAAATATTCTGTTGCTGTAGCCCTAAGGACCTACCTGTGTGGCAATTTCTTCTAGCCTTTGTTCCAGTCCTTTTTTGTTGTTCATAAATTATATGATTTGATGCTATACCTTTTAACAAGAATATTAATAACTCCTAAAGAAGATGGTAAATGAAATGTTTGTTCAAAAGCAATACAGCTAAATTGGCATAATACTTAGTATAAGTATAAGAGTATAATAGAAAATATACTCTTACAAGGAAAGTGAATATTTTAAAACTATGTCCTTAAAAGCCAAAGTCTCCTATCTATATATGCATGAGTGAGACAAGGGGCTAAAATTGAAAGCAGGTGTTTATTATTATTTATAGTTCTTTTATATTTTGAATGAACCTCTCCTTAGCTAAAGCATTTATCTTGAGAGATTTGGACAGCTGGAATTCACTTTGTCTGTTTGATATTTTAAATAGAAATAAATGTATTCTAAATGAAAATCTCATGATTTCATGATTTAACATGAAGAATGATGAGTCTAATGGATGGGTTTTTTTGTCAGCTGCTCAGTAGCATTGGATGAAGGTCTGAGGTGCTTATTTTCTCTGAAATTCTTGAACTATGGACTGTGTGATTTTCCAGAAGCTCTCTCTCAGGGGTAGTTTTAATTCTAACGTGTGCTCAAAAATAAAGGGGAGCTCTTCTCTTCTTAAATAAGACTTACAGCAATAGTTTTCTTTGCGAGCCTATCCTCGTAAAATATAAACCTAAATATTATCTTTATTTCTTCAATGTAGTCTGTGAATCAGGCCACTTTTCTCATTCTATTTTTTATTTATATTTGTTAGTTGCTTTTATTTGAATGTAGTTGACACGCACATTCCATCAGATCCAGGTGTACAACACAGCGATCCCACAAGTGTATACATTACGCTTGCTCATGCACGAGTAGCCACCATCTGTCCCCATACAGTGCTCTTACAATACTCACTCAATTCCTTCTGCCATGCACTTTTAAGTGGCACTTTAAAGATAAACTCTACTTACAAGTAAATTGCTTTTTTTAAAATTTTTATCATTTTTTTAATGTTTATTTTTGAGAGAGAGAGAGAGAGAGAGAGAGACAGAGTGCGAGCAAGGGAGGGGCAGAGAGAAAGGGAGACACAGAATCTGAAGCAGGCTCCAGGCTCTGAGCTATTAGCATAGAGTCCGATGAGGGGCTTGAACTCGCAAACCGCAAGATCATGACCTGAGCCAAAGTTGGAAACTCAACCAACTGAACCACCCAGGCACCCCACAAGTAAATTGCTTTTATTGATTACACTGCAGTGTTAGCGAGTGATACAGATGATACTCGAACTTCCCTATCACGTAAGTGAAGACCTTACTGTGAAGTTCAAAGCTGTTCTGCTGACTTCGTATTAGTGTTCCTCAGAAATTGTTTTTTAATTTCATTATTGCCCTCTCTCCCTCGAGGAACTTTTTAGACATTTTCCCCCCTAATCATCTCCCTATGACATTTTACTGCCACAAATATAATGTAAATCTGTATAGTGTATTTCTAGCTTTACTTTATACATAAGAAAGTAAGATTTTTTTTCATCCTCCTTGAATGATACTACACCCCACTGAGAATACATGCTCTTCATAATTGTACTTCATTTTTGCCCTTGTTTCTGGTTTTGTTCCTTTTGCCAACATTGTATAGAAGACGACAGGCTTCTGCTTTGGAGTCAATCAGAACTTGGTTTGAATCTTGTTTTGTTTTGTTTAATCTAGTAATTATTCAACCCAAGTTACCGAACTTAATTTGAGTCCCAGTTTTCTCCTTTCATGCTATCCCTACTTAAGGTCTTCGAAGCTTAATAAGATAATAGATATGAAAAGTCCTAGCACAGTGTTCAACGTTGAATAAATGTTAGCTTAAGGAAGTCCTAGAATGCAGCCACTGTTGTTTTCTTAAGATGGTGTTCTGAGCATTTTAGCAATTCCCTCTAGCCACACCAAAGAATAAGAATTGTTTTTTACTAAAGTCATATTTGCGTGTTTGCTGTGTGGCAAGTCCTGTAGTAAGATTCTTATATAAATTATTATATTTACTTCTCAGAACATCTTACGATGTCTCTATGTACCATTTTTCAGCTGAAAGAACTGTTTTTGCAAGATTTGTAACTTGCCCGAGGTCACACATCTCTTAGGTGCTTAAATAGAGGCAGATGATTTGTTTCTCCAGCACTAGGCACTCAAAAGGATGGACAGATTCTTCTTTTTTACAAAAATCAACACAACTCAAATTTGACAATGTTGCCTTGATTCTTTCCTTTTTTCCCGCATCGTTCCTGAGATCTTATATTGTGAAATTCGTAAATCTCTCATGGCGTTTAACAGGTCTGTTGAAGGAATATTTAAGAAAAAATTAGAGAAAACTCAGTGAAATATCTAAAATGCTTTTCCTGTATCCTTTAATATCACATGCTTATTAATTTATGCTTTATACATCCACCTGCATACAACATATGTTACAGACTAGCCCAGATGGAAGTGGACTTCTAAGAGTCTTGAATCATCAGTAGTAATTTGAAATGCATAAGATATGATATGATACAAGGTGTTTGGTATGTGTTATTACCTGTCTATATGTATTATGAGCTTAAATCCCATTATAAAATTACTTCAATTATGTACAAGTTATTCAAAGTTGAGAAGTCAGATAACATAATCATATAATTTTTCGTTGATCTGCTTCGGCTGGAAAGAGAAATGTGTAAATTTCTCCCACTTAAAAAATACAGAGACACAGAAAAGCCATTGACAGTAACAAAACCCTAACAGGGTCCTGTGGATGTTGCTGAGGAAGCAGTGTTGAAGTCTGATTTCTAAATCTGAGAATTTAAGGTTTAATCAAGCACATTCTTTTTCCTTCTATAAAAATCCCTTTCCGTTGTGACTTTACTTGTCCACAGACCTCAGTTCCTTTATTCTGTTTTCTTAAATATGATTAGAAGGAAGAACAACCCATTCACAACTTTTTAAGGTTATCATAGCATCTGGACTACATTTCCATTTTATTGACAATATAAGTGAGATCTTTTGAAGTGAGACAAATTCACGTTCCTTCAAAAAAAGCATCACCAAATTAACATCATATCTTGTGGGTGGAATCTGACGTGGGTTCTTCAGGAATGGAGGGGGTATTCCATCTAGTGTAAATTGTGCTTGAATAATCTTGGGTATTTTTATCGAGAATAAATTTAATTGAGAACAATTAAAATCATGACCTGAGCCTAGGGTTAGAAATACATTTTTCTCCAGTAATAAACTGTTCACCTTCCCCTCTTTTGGTCTCAGTTTTCTCATATGTAAAAAGATTAATTGTAATTTAATAAATATTTACTAAACACTTCCTACTCTTTGCCAAGTACAGTGCTAGTTATTGGAGTAATGAAATATGAGGTGGCCAACTGCTTTGCAGTGTTTTAAACTCTGAGTATCATTCTAGACAATGAGGAACATTGCTAAAGCACTCCTTTTACTTGGCAGAAACCCATTTTGTAAAATCATATAATTTTCCTACCTAAAAACTCTTCAATTATTGGTTAGGAACATTAGTATTATAATCATAATCCCATTGCCTCTTTTATTCCAAGTCGTAAGTCTTTAACACTGACTCACCTTTGGATTGGTTTTCTGTAGATACCAAATGAATTTTGAGATCATAACTATTGCCTTTATACCTTAAAGTGTTCTTTGTTTACAACTTGGGAGGTAATACTCTTATTAATTTACTAAAGAATCATTTATGTAGAATCCTGTTTCTACTATTTCTGTATTTTGTTCTAGTTCCCTGCAAAAACATCAGTCTCCACACACATTCTTCTAGAATTACATGGGTTGATCAGTGTTCTAAGAATAAGATTTTAGTTTAGCCATCCAGATACTCTGGATCACTTTAAACTTTTCTGTCTTCGTTTATCATTCAAATTGAAAATGGGATGGTTTTACAACAGTTGAAAATGGTGGAGGTTAATGGGGAATGGGGAAGGGAAAAGAAACCTCAAATTTTTGAGGAACCATGATATATTTTATGAATACAGTCTTTCCAAGCTAATGATATGGTGGTAGGGGATCAGTTAAAGAAATTGGTTGGATAAAATACTATAAAAACTTACCTGTGGTGGAAGTAGCTGTTTTGTTAAATCACGTAGCCATATGACAGTGTGATTGTGTGACACCTGTAGTTTGCTGATTTGGACCCAATTTGTGATTTTGGCCACATTGACCTCAGTTGCTTTCCTTTTGTTATCTGTAATTCCCTATGCAATGCAGATCAAAATAATAGATTTCAAGAACACTAGAGGGTGAAGTAGGGAGGAGAAGGGAGACCCAACAATGGTACAGATAAAGGGCAATTGGGTCAGTTTAGAAAAGAAAAATTACGTGTAAAAATAAAACTATAAAAATTATTGTTGACCAACTTATTTGACCAATTGTTTTTCTATCATTCAACTCAAATAGTGCATCTTAATCTTAAAAGTAAATATTAACTTTACTAACTGAAATTTGATCTACAAAAGACTAAACACTGAAGGGCATATTGGGATATGTAAGCAAAGTAAATATGCTTTACCCTCCATGCACAGGTGATTTTACCTTTCCTGTGATGGAAAAATGCCCTACATCTCCTGTCTTTACTATGAATTAAGTAAGTGGCTTTCCCATTAACCACGTATGTAAGTCTCATCTTTCTGAGAGTCAAATTACTTATCTGCAAAATGAGACTGAACTTCAAGATACTTTCTAGTGCTGAACTTAATTAAGGCAGTCGTCATATTTGAAAGATCAGTGATCAAAGCACTGAAACTTGAATAGGGTTGGGTTGAAACACTTCGTTATCCTCCAGCCTGTTAAACGAATTTTACTTGAGCATGGTGATACTTTCCACATTTTATTTCATTTTCCTTTGACAGAAAGCAGGGTAAATATCATGCAATTTTTACTGTCAAACTTGTGGCATAGAAAGCCGTACACAAACTGTAATTCAGGTCTCCTATTTTTCTTGAACTTGCCTCATATCCAACGTGTTTGTCATTGTGAAGCTAACTGCACTGTAAATATAATTGTTCACGTTCCTATTAACTATGTTACCAAATTTTTTCCTTCTCAAGGACTTGTTGCTGGTACTGTAATTGGTACCCTAATTCTAGGCAAAATTATCTGGCACTATGGAAAATCGGGGTGAGCAGAAATTCTGATGATTTAAAAATAATTGTTCTTAGCTTCTTTCCGGTAAAACTTGACACTCTATCAGAAGGTAACGTTCTTTGCTTAATTGTATTCTCTGACCTCTCTTTATTGCTTTTCTCTGTAATTCTTACCCTGGGCCAACAGACTTTCTGTCTGTTTTTTTTTTTTTTTTTTTTTCCTGGAAATTCAAGGACATTAACATTTCAAAGGCAAATGATTTGAAAGCTAAATTCTCACTTTTCCATCTATTAATCAATCACTTTGTGTCCCTCCGCAGTACAATTTATGATAGGATCTGTGTGTTACACAGAAGCAAAAACTCAGGAAGAGTCAGACTCTAACATACTGTTAAATTGTCTGTGCTTAGCCTTTTTCTCAGTTGTGTTTATTAAAACAGGCCAAGGTAGCTAAAAACAGCCCAGTGGTTAAGAGGGCAGGCTCTAGAGCCTGACTGCTTGATTTGAGTCGACCTGGCTCTGCACTTTATATGCTGTGTGACAATGGGCAACTTCATCTCTCTAATGCCTCCATTTTCTTATCTGCGAAGTGGGAGAAGCATAGCACCTAGCTCAGGGGATTGTAGTAAGGATCAAATGAGTTGCCCACCATAAAGAAGAAGGTAGAATATTGCTTGGCATGTCAAAAGCCCTCAGATGGTAAAACAGCAACACCTAGAAAAAAAAGGTCAGTATTATTTGAAACATCTGACCTGCACTAAATGTGTGTATTTTAAGTATGTCTTGGTTGGCTCTGACATTTCCTGTAGACAGAGGATTATTTAAATTGACCCTCCTCTGTTTTATAGATTTCACTGTTGAGAAAACTTACTGTAGAATTCATATAAACTTGAATTATTTCTAAACTGCCCTGATGCCTTTTTTTATTAATTCAAAACAACCACATACACACACACACACACACACACACACACACACACACGTATATATATATATATATATATTTTTTTTTTTTTTTTTCTTTTTTGAGAGAGAGTGCAAGTGGGGAAGGGGCAGAGAGAGACAGGGAGAGAGAGAATCCCAAGGAGGCTCTGAGCTGTCGGTGCAGACCTGGATGCAGGGCTCAATCCCATGAACTGTGAGACCATGACCTGAGCCAAAATCAAGAGTCGAATGCTTAACCAACTGAGCCACCCCGGCTCCTCAAAACGACTGTATTTTAATGCTGTTACTAAATGGCCTGTTTTAATTTGGGGGTTGATGTGAGCTATCTAACTTTTTACCCTCTGTGACTCTTGCCTTTCTCCTTAAATTAACAATAGGATTTAAGCCTATTCTAAGCAAAATTGTGTAAATGTTCTTTAAATCACTAAACGGTTCAGTCTTTTAGTAAAATTATCTGACCACTGGGTCCTGGGCTTTGTGGGTTTTTAAAATAGTTTTTATGGCTATAATAGCAAGTGTAGTAAAAGATAAATTCAGATTTTTCAGCAGGTTTTTAAGAATGTGGTTTAGAGTCCACCAAAAACATATAGAATTCTAAGACCTTTGAGCAAAACTACCATGGGAAAAAAAAGTAGACCACCCACCTTACGGACGTCCTTGCCCTCGTTCCAACTCTTCCCTTGAATTAGAGCATTATCAGTTTACCTTCCACAGCCAGCGCCTGGTAGGTGAGAGGGGTGGAAGGGAATGTGAAGTTTCTTGGGCACTCTCTGAGCTGCTTCAGCTTCTTTACATACTTTAGTTAAATAATTGGCCATGATGGTTTCAGTAGGATGAAAAGTGCTGAGACATAGGAGAGAATATCTGTTTTGAATTTCACTGGGGTTTTACAGTAAACCAAATCCCCCTATTTCTGAATCAGAGAAATTCGTGCAAACCCCTGAGGAAGAATTTGCTCTTTTCAAGTGCCCTTAAAAAAAACACTCCCTTGGCCTTGTTTTTCCAAGTATAAGCTGTTGAAGAGCTAAGTTCCTACATTCCTGGTTATACTCCTGATCTCATACTGATTTAATTAAAAATTGGATCTTAATAGGGACAGGGAAAAGAGTTAGTGAGTATGAAGGTGATAATGTACCTTCACTTGGTGATCCTTTGTATTTGCCTATCAAAGGATTTGCTTTCTTACTTTTAGAAATGTCGAGCTTGCATGATAAGTTTTAGAGGGCCCTGATTGTAAGGAAATGCTGATCTTGCTTTTCGGTTGAAATTACAATTATATTGTTCAATGAGTGTTTTCCTTCTCTGCTGTTCAGCTCTTATTACATACATGAAAACAGAAAAACATGCAGTGTCTTTCGTAATTTCACCGTGATTGGTGATACCTCAGAAGTGAGACCTTCTGGTAAATTTTAAAAGGTATATGGTTTTATAAAGTCACATCTTGCAAAATGTCCATCAGTACATCCCGGGCAGGATTTGCCTGTGACTGTTCAAGGATAATAGAGGCTTAAACCTCTATTATCTTGTCTGAATTGGTTTTCTTGAGTGACTGTTTAATGTATTGCATCTCTCATTAGCATGACATGTCCTCCATTGCCAGCTCATCATCTCGTCTTGGGTTTTGCACTCAGCTTATTGTAATGGTTGGATGCTAGCGATACTGCAAGTATTTGGAAAAAATAAAAGGTGGATTTGTTAGGGCTTACAGTTAGGAATGTCTTTGTTATGACTATTTGCATTGTGAAATGATTGGCTTATATTGTATTTGTTTCTCCTTTTTGGTTGGTGGCTTTTAGAATTTCCGGTGTGTAGGAAATACTAAAATTCATCTTATGGCACCTTTTATAATTCATATTTATAGATCTTATATCTCTTTTATATTATACAAAATTAAGACACAAAAATAATATAAACGTATCTGTGAAACATTCTGGGTGTCTTTTTCTAGGTGTCCTTTGATGAAACTTTCCTCTATTGCACATGTAGTAATCAGGGGTTTTCATTGACTTTTATTCTGAAAGTATCTTCATTGAGTCTAACTTGACTGCTTAATTTCAAGGAACTAAAAAACTCAGGTATCCTATTTTAGTTGGTGTTGCGATGGCTACTAAACACTAAAGTCTACGCTGGCTGAGGTTGGATAACTTACTAATTTTGCATTTGTTTTGCATGCTACACTAACGGATTAATTTTCATCATTTGTCACATAATAACCAAAAGATTAATGTGTATCATCGGTCAATAAACTTATTTTGATTTTAGTTTTCTTTTTTAACTTTCAGGATACAAATGTATAACATTGACAGTTTTGCTTATGATGCTAGTAACCATTGGCTAGCTGCCTTAGCCGAAGAAGAGTTCAGAAGAAAGTACACACAAGTGTGCAGAATATTTCTAGTTTCTTAGAACCTTGTGGAGGAGTGGACACAATAAATGCAATAGTGTTCTTCATTTTTCATGTTATCACTGTCTGAGGTGCGTAGGAAAATCAACGGAGCAAGAAGCGAATCTGTCCTGGGACACTCCTAAGCCTCTTGAAAATAGAACAACTTACAAGATTGAGAGGGATTACTTTGCTTAAAGTGTAGGAAAGTGTAGAGGTTTGTTCATGCTTAGAACGTGAACGTGAAGGAAATAAGTGATTTTTTTCACTAGATGTGTAATGTTATTTTTGTTTACAAAGAAAATTAAATACTAAAAACAGTGATTGGATATTGAAAACAAAACACCTAAAATCAGACTGGATATTAAAAACAAGAAACCTGAAGTCTCTTCTGAGCAAATTTGCCAAAGAGAGACGAACCATATTGTAAAATAACTCTTGACTATAAGGCATTGGCATGTTTTCTTATTCCATTATGATGAGTCTGAATGCGCTGACAAAATTTTTTAAAGGAAAAATATGCTGAGGGGGGACACAGAATGAGTAAATAATTCTTTTGGCTATAATTTTGTTTAAGGACAATCCGTTTCTTTCTTTTGGAGAAAGACCCTGTGAAAGGGTGAAAGGTGTCTTCATTGACTTAATGTCTTTAAAAGTATATTACAGCATTAATATAAGAGTCTATATTTCTAAAGGAAGGTGTTCATAGCCAAATCCTAAATCTTATTATTTTGTAGTATTAAGATTAATTTATTTATATTAATTTATGTCAGTGAATGCATTGGTTTTCATGTATAGCAAGAAAAATTCAAGAAGATATGTAAAGAAAAATTTATTTTCCCTAAATGGAAATAAATAATGGATCACATTTTTGGCTCATGTAGTATTTGAAATTTATTTTCATAAATATAAATATTTATCTCTAAATAGGAGATTCTTTTCCTGCATCCGTAAGTACTTTACAATGCTGTCATTTGGTTCTCCTGGGGTGAAACATTTTCAGTTACTTTTACTTACTTATTTCTTTATTTAGAGGGTGAGCGTCAGCGGGGGAGGGGCAGAAGGAGAAAGAGAGAGAGAGAGAATCTTTTTAACAAATTTAAAAAATATATATTTTTAAATGTTTATTTATTTCTAGGAGACAGAGAGAGAGACAGCGTGAGCAGGGGAGGGTCAGAGAGAGAGGGAGTCACAGACTGAAACAGGCTCCAGGCTCTGAGCTGGCAGTCAGCACAGAGCCACCTAAGTGAAAGTCGGACGCTTAACCAACTAAGCCACCCACGCACCCCTAAAAAATATTTTTTAATATTTATTTGCTTTTGAGAGACAGAGTGTGAGTCAGGGAGGGGCAGAGAGAGAGGGAGACATAGAATCTGAAGCAGACCCCAGGCTCTGAGCTGTCAGCACGCTCAATCAACTAAGCCACCCAGGTGCCCCTTAAGTTACTTTTATATTGTGCCATACTGTACTACCCCAAGCATGTCATATTCTCATATTAGAGTTGTGTCACTTGTTATTGATTAATATTGATCACGTTAATTTCTAGGTGATTATCCATTCTCATCAACTTACCGATTACATTTCAACTGTTGAAATATACTAGCATATACATATAACTAAATTTAACAATTATTTTGCCATATTGCTTCATCTATTTTGTTGTTGAAGTATTTTAAAGTAAATGTCATATGCATCGTGGTATTTCACTGTAAATACTTCAATACGTATTTCTAACAATAAGGGCATTTTCTACCTAACCATAATCATCACAACTAACAAGATTAACAAGAATTTCCTGATAGTTTCTAATATTAAGAAATTCTTTGAACTCTCCTAAAAGTTCTGTTTTTAGCTGCATATAGCTACCAATTCATTTGTTTGTTAAATAGGAGGGTCTACTCGGCCAATTTTGTAAGTTTGGTGCTTCCTGGGGTAGCAGTGAGCATAACACTGATTCAATTACTCAAAAAAATACCCAAGCGCCTACTATGTGCCAGTTACCATGTGCTAGGTGTGAGCTTACCAAGATCTACAACACTGTGACCACCCTCAATTTGCTTATGTTCTATCACTAAAACTAACACTTAGTGAAAGAGTATAGAATTATAAATATTATGGCAATCACCTGTACAGATAACAGGGAGTACCTATGCTATCTTTGCTACAGGAATGAGTGGTGGGCAGGGAGGCATTCGAGACAGGATGCAAATGAAAGGACAAATAGATAAGATTCACAGAGCAGGAATGGGAAATGCAAAGGATGCAGTGCACTCAGAGAAGGAAAGGTTCACAGAGAAGACTTGTGTTTAGCGTAGAAGTAAAAATGGTAAGTTCCACTTAGTTATTCTGTATGATTAAATTTAAAGTTGGAATCAGCGGACACACGTTTATAATAGGAAGAATTTTAGATATTGGGAAATATTGAACTTTGGCAATATAATACACTGAGTTAACCTCTATATCTTATTATTTAGATAAAGTTAAAGCTGAAAAAATATTTAATAGTTATCTTGAAAAAATAATATAAACAGTAGGCATATTGGAGGTAATGACATTTTCTTATAGGGTGTGTAAGTACTTTGTGTCCTGTTGTCATGAACTTAAATAATTTTATTTTTTCCCAAGGTAAGCTCTCCTTTGAGATGATACTTTGCGAAGACTGTATTGCCTTTACCCTTGAGATTGATGCTGATTATCCGTGCAGGAAATTATACATGCTTAGCACAGAAATTTGTGGTAAATAGTACAATATTTAACTATCTAATTTCTTAGAACACTTAAATATTAATAGATTTTGTCGTATCACACTCTAGCACTTTTTGTTGGTTAATGCCCAAAGTGGAAATGACTTTTTTTCTACTCAACCAACTTGAGTGTTCCTTCCACCCCCTTTTCTAAATTAAAAACAGCTTCTTCCCTAAAGTCAATGCTTCTTTTGCAAACTACTCCAGTGGTGGCTTCTTCAGTTTCCTGCTCCATGTTGTTTCAGTGTTGAGAAGTAGTAACATTCTTTTCCTTGCTTCCCATTGCCTCTACTTCCATCCATCTCTCGTTTCCTGTATATTCTTTAAAATTTGTTTAATGTTTATTTATTTCAGAGACAGAGACAGAGTGTGAGCAGGGAAGGGGCAGAGAGAGAGAGACACACACACACACACAGAATCCGAAGCAGCCTCCAGGCTCTGAGCTGTCAGCACAGAGCCCAACGTGGGGCTCAAACCCACAAACTGTGAGATCATGACCTGAGCCAAAGTTAAATGCTTAACTGACTGAGCCACCCAGGCGCCCTTCCCATATAGTCTTTAAAAAGAGTATCTCGTCTGTACTCTGGTAGGACAATTTACTAAAATATTAAGTTTTTTCACTATAGTTTTCCCTTTCTCAATTCCAAGCAGGTAGCCAAATTTTGATCTTCCTTGCTCCGGGGAAACATCATGCCTTATGGGAGCAGAACCACTTAAAAGACATCTCTCTTTCTTGCTATTCTCTGAAATCCTATACTCTCATCATAGACTAAATAAGCGGGGGGCGAGGTGGGGAGTAGAAACAGAACCAGGAAGAGAGAAGTTTCCTATGAATAACAAGGCAGATGCTGCTAACAACCTCAAAGTCTCTGAGCCAGGCATCCTGACACCTTCTGGGGTGGAAAGTTAAGGACTCAGAGGTATGTGATGGGAAGCATAACATTATATTTTGAAGTTGAGACTAGCAGGATTTGCTAAAGGATTAAGTGTGCGGTTAAAAAGGAAAGAAAGGAATTAAGGATGACACTAAGAGTTTTAACCTGAGCAACGGGAAGAGGGAGGTTGCACTTACTAACCTTAATTCCCTTGGGGAAGACTTTTGTAACAGAAAGGTCAGGAGTTTGTGTTTATACATGTAAATTTAAGATGCCTTTTGGGCATCAAAGTAGAGATGTTGTACAAGTAGTCAAAAATACAAATCTGGAGTTCTGAAGGGGGTGGCTAGGGTTGAGATGTATATTTGGGAGTCATCAATAAGTGATCATATGTCATTGAACCCAAGTGAAGAAAGCAAGATGAAGACTGAGATTCAGCATTAGGGTTTACAATATGGACATCACTGATGGCCATGAGCAAAGCTCTTACAGTACAGCGGTTGTGAGTCGAAGCCAAGATTGAGAGGCCAGAAAGAGACTGGGACAAGAGAGATTAAAGATGACCAACACAGGTGAATACAGAAAGTTTTTTGAGAAGCTTTGCAGAAAAGTTTGGGCAGAGAAGTATTCCTTGGAACATACTGTGACCTCAAGAGACATTTTATTTTAAAATGTGGGGAAAATTATATCATGGTCTATCCTGATAGATATAATGCAGGAGAAAGAAGGGAGAATTTCTAGCTCTTGAGGAGGTGAGAGGTAATGGACTCCACTGAAAAGTGGTATAATTAGTGGTTAAGAGCATGAATTACGTAGACAGCCTGCCTGAGCTCAAATCAAACTCTCACCACTTAACAACTGCGTGACTTTAGGAAAATTTCATGATCTATCTATAAAATGCCTTTTCATCTGTAAGGTGGTGATACATAAGGTGCTGTGAGAATTAAGTTAATAAACATAAAGTGCTTAGAATAGTGCCAATCACATAGGAAGTGAGTGCTCAGTAGGTTTTAGCTCTTATTAGTGCACGAATGGAGAGCCCAGTCTTAGATAAAGTAGATAAGACAGATCACTGAGAGTTAACAGGAAGGAAGGTAGCATGTTAAAGGTCCAGTTGCAACAGCATGTGGGATGCCATGGTGGCAACTTCTGGAAACTTTCTTCTACTCTTCTATTGACATATAAAGCAAGATCATCATGAGTATGAGGTATATGAGGAGTTGTTATTCATTTGAAGAGAGGAAGAGAAGGAGAAGACTGGAGGAATTTAGTAAAGTGAGTGGGTGGTTGGTGTGAGTGTTCATTGAGACTGCAACCATTGGGCTTGGAGCTGCCCAGATATCTAACGATGATGGAAGAAAAGAAAATAGCAGGTGAAATTACATCAGGTATTCTGATGACATGAGATTCAAAGGAAAGGGTTTTGTGAGGAAGTAGGAGGGAGATTGGTCTACAAGTATCAGTAATGAAAAACATAGAACATCAAGTTCACATCCAGGCCTGGTAATATGTGGAGTGAGGGCCTCCTCATTCAAAAAACTCCTCACTCTCAAAAACGAGAGATGCTTTTGCCCTACCAGAGATTTATGTGCAAGTTCAAATGCAATGTACATTCCTCTTTCACTCCTTGCTATCATAATTTGCCTACTTTCTGGCCCTACTTACTGAGGGACTTCTATATGATATATATTAAATATATATTAGATCTATCTGCTCCGAAATCTTAGGGGCAATGCAACTCCAGAACTAGATTTATTTTATTTTTTTGGGGGGGGATGGCATTTCTTCAATTTACTTTGTGATTTGTAAGAAAGATGTAGTTTATTTCCTTCAACCAAATTTGTTGATTAGGCATAAAAAACATATAAGATGTAGTCACTTTAGTTTTGAGAAGACTTAATGCTGCTTTCCAGTTATTTTACTTACTACAATGTATGCAATACTGCATTCTTAGGATGTTGGAATTTTACCATGTCTGAAGTCATTTTTTTCTTTTTAAAACTGTGAACCAGAACCTTGACATTAGCTGCAACCTACTGAGATTCACATTATGATTCTTCCCAAATTTAATTAAATTTCTCAGAACATTTTCTTTCCAGATCTGGGAGGATGCACATTTTATTGCATAGCATGGCTTCGCCCCCCTTCAATTTGTGATAAGGGGCTAAGTGTGTCAAAGAAGGCCAGGAAATACCTCAAATGGCACTTCTGAGGTTTGTGTGCTTTGCCAAAATCTTTAATCTTGGTAT